GATTCATGTCCCGTAAGGCAGTACCCAAGTCCACATACCTCTTTTATGACCAATAACTGGCATATAAGCATTCAAAATGGGCACTTTTGATTTTGCAAGTTCAAGTTCCATAGACTTGCATTGAGCTTGAAGTTCGCAGTCGAACGTTCATTAGGTTTGAACGTTCAACAGCAAACCGAACACAGGGGTGTTTAGCCCATCACTGTTACACATCAGCGACTGCTCATACACAAAAACACATTGCCCACAGTTGGCATATTTCACATGTTTTCACATATGTTTGCAGGATTGAGGTCAATAATCAGGGAAAGCTTTTTGCATGGTCTCTGTGTGTGTACTTTTTGCTGTTGTTTCTCCATGCACACTGGCTTAAAAAAACGTTGCTTCTAGAGGAGTTTAACGTTTTGCCTGTAATAGCAACTAATATTATCCTACGTGTCCATGCACATTAGGTAGTCTAGAGGCATCTTTAAGCTCAGCGTTTAGAGGCAGGAAAAAAAACACCCTTGTGTTGTTGAGAGCATTTTTCTTCCAGAAAAAATGCTTCTAAATGCTCCTTAAAGCTAGTACAAAAATTGCTCAAAATTAGCGTTTTTTTCTGCCAAAAGCACTGTTTTTTTAAGCAGGGGTGCATGCAGCCTATTAATTGTTCAGAGTTTTCTTTTTTCTTTTTTGTCAAGTGTGTTAGAACAAAGCCACCATATTTAAAGTACATCATCTCTATATACTTTCAGTCAGTTTCCGCATGCATTATCAACACATATAGTATACTTCTACAGTTCATACGAAATTTCTCTTTCGTATTGAAAAAAAATAGTTTGCATTATTTTACCTTCAGTGCTGCCCATCTACAGGAATAGTAAATAAGAAATGCGAGCTTACCAAATGTATTTGACCCTCTTATTCAGAGAAGTCATCATGAGCTCAGATCAGCTAACCCCGGAGGACATCTGTTTATGATGAAACTCATTGAGTAGAGCCTCACCCATGATGTAACCATGCACAAATTATACCAGAAGTGTGGTTTTATTGCTGGATTAGGTGCATATTGGGATATTTGCATTTGATTTTATGTTTGTAAATGCGGTTCTGTTAAATAAATGGTGTTTTGCGTTATTTACACTGTGTGGAGCGTATATATGTCCTCTCTTTACATGTTGTGGATTGCATTAAATTTTAAATTGCATACTGGCAAAGTGGCATCCTTGGGAACGGCATGGAGAGACGTAACAGGCTGTGCTGAACTGAGCTCATGTTGACTTCTCTGAATATGGGGGGCCAAACACATTTGGTAAGCCCGCATCTCATTCACTATTCCTGGTGAAGGACTGGTGATATTGCATCGTTTGCAAATTGCTTCAGGAGTTCATGTTGGATTAAAAGGGGACTCTTTGCAATCACTTTTCATTTATTTAAAAGGGACTCATCTTTAAATAAAATTATCTCAAATTTGTTTATATTTTATGTTATATGGTTTAATAATGTAGTTACTTTATGTGTATTATTTAATATTTTTTAATTGCACAAATTGATATGTGTTTACAGCACAACACTTTTTATGCAATTAGTACATATTAGAGGGGATATCCTCTTTTGTGTTTGCCACTCACTTTTGATTTATTATTAAACAATTTTGCACAGTTTCCTTTTTTATACAATTATTTTACCTTCACAGTCTGAGAAATATGGACTGCCTTGTTTCAAAACTTTTCTTGTGCCAGAAAACATACATGTGTTGGAACAAAGCCACCATACATTACCTATACCTGCCTACAAGTCGTCAATGCACATTTTCACTTTGCACACTCTGTAGAGCATCAGGAGCAATATATTTTATAGTTCATGTTTAGTGGAATATTTTCTATATCTGTTACATTTTTATACATCATGATTCTGTTTTTAGTACACTTATTTTCCAATTCAACATCCACTATGAATACAAATATTGTTTCAGGTTCTACACGTCATTCAGTATTAGAGGAAAATATATTGCATTGTAGATACCTAAAACCTACATACGGTATTATATTTTGCTATCATTACCATGACTTCCCATGGTATTTTTTTTTTTCGAGCCGGTATTAGTGCTGTCCACTAAGACATTAGGTCTACAAACATTTTTTTACTGAGTGTGTGTGTGTGTGTGTGTGTGTAAAACAATATCAGCTGTATTTTATTTATTTATCAGCATCCTCATCAAGAAAGAAAGGTGCCATTGATAATCTACAAATAAAAAATACTGGACACAGGAGGAAGGTCATAAAAAATGTAAGGGATTGTTATGGTACTTTTACTTGGAACCAATGTAGATATCAGTCCTTTTTAACCCATGCGGACATTCTTCCTGAAAGTCCAGCTTTTTAACCTTCGCAGCTTTTTAGACATATATACATTCTTATTTAGAAAAATTGACTCAAGACTTTTCCTTTTAGCTGGATCAAATTTTGCTGTTTCCTCCTGAATTGACCAAAATTTGATGTGTGGGGGCCCTACCAGCACCACCTATCACAACAAACTTCAGCTAGGTGGAAAATTGTCAACTGGACAGTGTCTGTGGTCAGTCAGCTGCAGCCACTCTTTGGGTATTCTGACAGCTGCTGGTACTGACTGTCAGAATACAATAGCTAGCAGTGGGAGATTTGTCCATCTACTCTGTATAGGCTCAAAACTAAAAAAAGAAATCTTTGTGTGTATGGCCAGCTTACATATTATCAGGCTGTAGCTAAAGAGATAATGGAGCTGAATTAAAACCTCAAATAAAAACTTTGTATGTAGGCTTAATGTTTCAAAAGTGATGAGGAATTAGAAGGCACATGTGATAAGTGCTACAGAGGCAATGAAGCAATTTTCATATTCCATCTTGATGGTGGCGGTGATGATATTTACATAGTTACATAGTAAGTCTGGCTGAAAAAAAGACAAAAGTCCATCCAGTTCAACCATTAAAAAAAAAGTAAAGTTATAATCCTATACCCACAGTTGATCCAGACGAAGGCAAAAAAAAAACAGCAAAGCATGATCCAATTTGCTCCTGCAGGGAAAATAAAATTCCTTCCTGATCCCCCCGAAATCAATCGGATATTCCCTGGATCAACTTTACCTATAAATGTTAGCAACCAGTTATATTCTGTGTATCCAAGAAAGAATCCAGGCTTTTTTTAAAGCAATCCACGGAGCTGGCCAGAACCAACTTTTGTGGGAGTCTATTCCACATTTTCACAACTCTTACTGTGAAGAAACCTTTCTGTGTTTGGAGATTACATTTCTTTTCCTCCAGATGTAAAGAGTGCCCCCTTTATTTGTGAAGTTTTATGTGGAGTTTGTTACCCTGTTGCAGTCTGGTAATGAGGAACATGGCTGTGTTATTTTATTTCTGGGACAGACCTTGGCACTTGTTCTCCTTCCCTGCTGCAGCCTCCCGTTCTGGACCTATAGCCGATATTAAGCACCTTATCGGGTACAGAAGCGTTCATACACTTTTTAAGTGAATGTTCACTGACTTTAACAAAAAAGATAGCTAAGTTCTTTTCAATCAACTAATCACCTGCATGCAAAAAAACAAAACAAAAAAAAAAACTATATTTTTAAAATTCCCTCTCACATGATTGGGTATTCAAAGGAAATTTTGACTTTGTTGTGTGAGTAGCTTTACCTTCTTTAGTCAATCTACCCCATTGGGTTTAATGAGGCTCTGAAGCATTAAACTGTTTGTATCCTTTAACAATGATTACATTAGTAATGGGTGGGATCCCGTGTATTAAAAACACAAAAGATGTATTTTTTAGTGTTGATGGTCCAATCTAATTTAGGCCACATATCATATATAGCCTTTTCTAACTTCTAAACTTTTTTAGTCTGATTGACCATTACAAATTACTGCCCAAGTTGCAGGCATGTGGTTCTGCATACAATATACTGTATCTACATCATCCTCGGAAGCACATGTGCACAATCTTTGCTTCCTCCAACACTTATAGGAGTGGACAGTAATATCTATACAATTATTTAATATCCAGTATGTGTTCCAGGTCCTCTTAGACAAACTGGAGAATGCAAAATTTGGTGGCGTGCTGCAGATAAACCAATTGTTTATGCACGTTTATGTGCGTTTGGTTTAGAAGCGTTTTTTAAAGATAAGCACAGGAGAACCTCCCAAATGCCCAGAATGCACTGAAAAGTGGTAAATTATTAACTATTTCAGACTGTTTCAGAGAAATACAAAGAGTGGAAGCAGAGACAGCAGTATGTGTTGAGATTAACTTAGGCGTGAGTTGCTCATTAACATTCCTTTTGTTTCCAAGGGTGGGAAGGTGTCTGGTGGAGTCATTAAGGTCACCTGGCAGGGGGTCTTTATGAGGAATTTGAGGTGTGAATGGTCATTAACATATATTTTGTTTCCAAGGGTGGGAGAGGTCTGAGGTGTGAATTGGTCATTACAATGTGTGACAAGCTTGGTAGGAACATCCTGTTTTCAGTGTTTTGTCCATCTGAGTATCTTGAAAACGCTTTGCATGCATTTTTCATGATGAAAAAAGGCTCTGGACAGCATCGGGAACTGGAAGATTAAGAAAAACAAATTTCAAACGCAAATGCTTAAAAATGCGATTTTCCGCGTTTAGCCATGTTTACAAGCATTTTGCGTTTGAAACGCTGATAAAATCAACTGCTGAATGCAAGTTTTCTGTGTTCAAAAAAGTGTCTGTAAACTCAAATGCCTGTAAACGACTGTAAACGAAGATGTGTACATGGACACATAGGAAAACATTAGGGTGAGTTCAGGGGCTGCTGAAAAAAAATGTTGAATAGCTCCTAAACATGAGTTTATCAGCTGCAGAGTGCATGAGACCTAAATCAACCCCTGTGTGTAATTCAAAATTATTCCAAAATAATGCTTCATTCAGGTGTTCATCTTCTTTTAGATCAACCCCTTCAGTGTTAGCGATCACACCCTCCACCTCAAACTGATGCCACATTCACCAGTGCATCTACATTTCCTGTTAAAGTGTTACTAAACCTACAACAGTAAAATCAGTCTGTATATGCAGTAAAGCATGCTTGTTATACTCACTGTGGAACCTAAGGGGTTAATCCTCTGCATTGTGTCAAAAGGCCGTTTGATCTTTTCTTCTCTGCCCCTCCTCTTGTTCAGATGCCCATTCTGATGAACTTGTGCCCTTCTGCACATGCTCAGTTTAGTGTGCATTGCTAGAGAGGTTTTTTTTGTGGGGGGGGGGAGTGCATGTGATCAGCACAGAGACAATCAGCACTGTCCAGACAGAGGTCAGGGGATTTCCATCCTCCTAGAGAAAACTCCTCCTACAAGCTTTAACCAGTGCTCAGCTGAAGTCACAAGACTGCTCTAACTGCTGATGAGTAAAGATATTTATCAGTTTGTATTTACTAAAATAATTGCACTTTCATGTTCTGTGTACTGTGGGAGACCAGATACAGGGAATGCAGGGTCCTGGGTTTGGTAACACTTTAAGAAAAGTAAAAGCACTTAAATGGGATCCTCATGGCAAGCAACTTTCCAACTGGACAGAATCTTAACTATTATACTTGTTCCACCTTTGCTCAAAAGAGAAGCCGAGACGTAGAAGAAAACACACATAGTATAAAATTCTTATTTTATTTTTTATAAAAATCACATTAAAAATGAACCACTCACATTTATAATGTGTATCACAGCACTATGTAAACCACTTTTTTGCAAAGTATCCAATTGTCCACATTCCACACATTCCTGCTGTGGTTAGCAGCATGTATACTATCAACTCTTTTACTCTTGTTGCTAGGCTTCCCCCTTCCCAACTACCAGTTCTGGAAATTCTTGAAGTGATGACTGAGCAAGTACCTACCACAGCTGTATTGCATGATTGTATGTTGTATTTGCTTATGCAAAGGAATTGAAGATAACACATTTTCATCAGGGTCAGTCATTCTTCGATTGGTGGAAATAATTTGTGAAAAGTTGCCTTGTTGCTATATGTTGTAGCTAAGTGGTTCATGGGTAGCCTAAGGAAACTCGATATTGGTGCCTTCTAGGCTAGTTCTTAGATAAGTGATGTTCGACTACTAAATCACAAAGAAAATTTGAAACAAGGTAAAAAAAAAATAACTATACCTTTAGTATTTTTTTTTCTTTTTTTAATGTAACATTTGACAAGGGACTAAGGGCTTGATTTACTAAAAGTGGAGAGTGCAAAATTGGGTGCAGCTGTGCATGGTAGCCAATCAGCTTCTAATTTCAGCTTGTTCATACTTTGATCAAAAAACCTGGACGCTGATTGTTTTATATGCACAACTGCACCAGATTTTGCACTCTCCAAAAATCAACCTGTGTGTGTCTTTATATTTATGAACTGTACTATTCTGAAATCCTGGTACCATAAACACTTTATAGGAATAGCAAAATAATATGCTTGACAAGGCGAGGGTTATGGCCTTTAATTTTAATATACTTTGTCTCAGAGGTCGTTCTGAAGAGTGAATATGACAAATAATCTGGTTTTATGTTATGTTATGGGTTTTTTTTGTAGATTATTTCAGTAAAAGCTTTTCAACTAAAGCATATTAACCAAATCTATATCATAAATATCACCACTCCCTACAAAGTCACAACTGCTAGTATCAGCAACTGTTCAGCTATACTAAGTACATTGTTATATTGACTTGACTTCATTGGCAGTGGCCTGTTTAAGTGGTCAGTTCCCTTATGACTAAAATGTATTAACAACAGTGAAATGTCTAATGGGTCTGTCTCTTAACCAGAATGCTTTGCCGAGAATAGCCATTATGAGACATGTGTTGTAAAGATATTTTACTCGTTTCATTCATCCATTGTGCCACCACCGCTATGCTGTGGTTATGCTTTTTCACAAGCTATGCCCTGGATAGAACACATTACTCTTTAGTTAAAAGTGAAACAAGTATTAACTCAAAGGTCTAGGAAGGTGAGCACTCACAAAATCAGTCCATAGAAAACTAACAAATATTTTTGCCATTATTACACAATGTAATTTGCTTACTGTGCTCTGTTGGAGGGGGAGGGGAGAGTTACAACCTCAAATGAGATTTCAGAATGAGTTCTCAGGATCATCAGTTGTCATATTTATCTCCTATTGCATTTTAGAAAAACTAATATTTATTTTGAAATGCAGGTAAAATACTAACTGTTGGGGCCTTAAAAAAGTGTTGACACTTGGGATCCCATTCTATGAAACTCTGTGCATTCAAACTCTGCATTCAACTCTAAACCACATAGATTTCTTTCATTGTTATAATATTTTTAGGTCATTGCTGTCCTAACATCTGCATATAGATGAGCATATTTGTGCAACAGGATTAATCCACATGTTTAGGCTGCCTTTTCAACAGCCTGACCAGATTGCTTCTGCTGTCATTGGGGACTGTTTGTGTGGTTGGATGATGACAGCACACACAGATCAATAGCAGACATAAATCATCAGACATGGTGGTCATTTTTACGCTATACAACCCAACATGAGACCAGTTACCCGTAATCATTGTCAGAACTGCAGAATGTATGGCTAGCATAGGTTTCCATAGACAGTTGTTAGATATATAGAGAGGGAAGATAAATAGATATTGAACATATGATTTAGGATAGTGATATAGATAAAAAAGAATGAGAGAGAAGGTGTGTGTGTGAGAGAGGATAGATAGATAGATAGATAGATAGATAGAGATAGATAGATAGATAGATAGATAGATAGATAATTTATAGACATGTGGGTTGATGAATTTTTGCCTTAAATTGTATTTACTCTAAGTCCTTAATGAGGTTCATAGGAAAAAAAGAAATTCATCTGAACCTTATTGAGTATTTAAAGTACAGGCTAGGGAAAAAAGAACATTCCTTTAGTAAATAAGTTACAGTGAGAGGGAAGGTGGGTGGGGAATAAAAATTAAAGATAGATGGGACTGGCAGATATTCAGACCAAAAAAACCATACAAAATAGAGAGAAAAGTCTGAGTCTTATGTATATATACAAATATACATCTTGTATTGAACTGTATTGTTGCTGTATTGTCTCCCTTTATATTGTAAAGCGCTGAGCAAACTGTTGGTGCTATATAAATCCTGTATAATAATAATAATAATATACAGTGTATATATATATATATTAAAAAAAAAAAATTCTTGCATACAGTACGCTTCAATACCTTCTCTTTAGAAATTGTTTCCAGCATGCCTTTATATTGAACAAGTAAAACTTCAGACCAAAAAAACAAACAAAATAGAAATAAAGGTCTGAGTTTTTATATATAAATATACAGTGTATATATATATATATATATATATATATATATATATATACAGTATATATATTTCTTTTTTTAATTTTTCTTACATACAGTATGCTTTAATACCTTCTCTTTGGAAATTGTTTCCAACATGCCTTTATATTGAACAAGTAAAACTAAAGGAAAAAGCAACATTGAAAACTGCTCCTAGATATCACACATATAAAACAGAAGGAGTATAATGCTATGACGTATGTGACAAGTAATGAAAAAGTTAAACAATGAAAAGAATTTCATTCAGCTAAGCCTGTCATCGTCCCTCGCAGCATATCTGTTGTTGTAGAAGCTCTTGCCACATATTGAAGATGATCTTTCACCCTGAAAGTTCCAAGTAAACTTTGTAGGATCCTTGCACCCACCTTTTCAGTGTTTAGGATCATTGCTTAAAGAACATGTGCTTAAGGTATATCTAAAGCTGAAACTTTTGAGTGGGTCAGTATGGTAAAACCCCTTTTTGTGATCTTTGTGCCAAAAAGATGTTTGCCTTCACTTCCTGTCCTGTGGACACAACAGAAAGAAAGAGGAAATCTCTCTCTAAACAATGGAAATTCACTCTATAAGACTAAATCTCTATAGCAAGGACACAGGTAGCAATAAAAACCAAACAAGGGTTAAAACCCTATACTATGCTACATAACCTGAAAAAAAAAGTGGTTTTAGATACATTTTAAAGGATAAGTCGACTATTTAAAAAATAATAAATGCATATTTTTTTACAGGTAAAAAAATGTGCATGCACTATTTTTTTTTCCCTAGGAGCCTGTAAAGCATTGCACCCACAATCATCAGATTGGAGGTGCAGTCTCAGGATCCTACAGACTGTCAGGGTAGCTGTCTTCCCGGACATCCGATGCGGTCAGACAGTCACTTCAGTCCAGGAAGCTCAGTGGACTACAAGAGCACTCATAAGAACCTGGTCATAATACGCTCAACACATCATTGGGCATAGCTTGTTCATGACGCCATCATGTATCGGCGTTGGTCCATGCTGTTTGCTGGTCCGGCTTAGCGTTCTCTATGCCAGAGTTATTACCCTCCCTATTTATTCTTATGTAAGAGAAATTTTTACCGCCATTTTACTTTATGTAGATATGATAACTATTTTTGATAAATGGAGAGACTTTTTAAACATATTTAACGACGGAAGAATGTTATGCTTTGTATCCATTGGTCACATTGGTTGCTGAGATTATTTGTATGTCTTGGTGCAGTTATCCTTGGCTATGATGTGCTGAGTGTATTATGACCATTTATAACTTGATGGTCCATTTGATTTGTTAAGAGGCGCTTTTTTATCTGTGTCACATGGTGGTGGATTTCTTCTTTAATATCGATGTAGTACATTGCACTACATTGGTAAATGCTAACCCTTCATTCACACTCTGTGGATTGATTTCTTCTTTGATGAAGTGTTTTTAAAGATGGACATTGTCAACTTTGTTTTCTTTTGGATACACTTTATATGGACACTTTCTCTGTGTTATATAATATTTGGCATATTTACATGAACACTCTAATTGACATTATAAAATACTAGTTTTTTTTGACCAAGCTCTTTTGACCCTTTTTTGTTCTAAAAGACCTTTTAGAACCAAGGTTTAAGCTATACATAGGCCTAGAATTTTTGAAGTCAAGAAAACGCCTACATCTTTTTGATGTAAAGCCCCATCGCCATTAAGCTGTCAAATTCAACAGCTGTACAATCAGTGACAGAAGCTCTGTCATTTGACATTTGAAGG